AAAAAAAAAAGTTTAAAGCTTATTCTTTATGGCAGAGTAGAGCAGTATTCCATTGTATTAAAAAAAAACTCCACATCTCCTTTATCCATTCATTGGTGGATGGGCATTTGGGCTGTGTCTAAGACTTAGCTATTACAAACTGTGCCACTATAAACTTGTCAATCCCCAGTACTAGGAAAAAAAAAGACACATCTGTATACTGGATTTTCAGGTGGGCTAGGTAACTGCATCTACCAATATACTTGTGAACAGACTCGGGCTAGGACTGGCAGGGAGGGGCAGGAAGGCACCAGGCACCAGAGACAAGGAAAAGATGGCCAAGGTAATTCTTGTGTCTTATCTCCAATTTTTAAATTGTGGTACTAGCCCGTAACATGTACCCTCTTAGTCAATTTAAAGTGTGTAGTTCAGCAGTGTGAAATACCTTTGCACTGTTGAGCAGCCGCACCATCATCTCAGAACTTCTCTGATCCTGGAACTCCAGAACTGTCCCCATTAATCTGTCACACCCCGTGCCCCAGCCCCAGCAGCTGCCCTCCTACCTTGGTCTCTATCTATGTGCTTGACTATTCTGGGTACCCATGTAAGAGGCATCATACCCTATTGAGCTTTTTGTGGCAGATTTATTTCACTTAGCATAATGTTTTCAAAGCCCATCCATGTGTAGCATGTGTCACAGTGTCCTTCCTTTTTAAGGCTGAGCAATAGAATTGTGGACCAGGGACTTTTTTCAGCCTCCCTCCACCCACCGTGACTTACTTAGAAATACCCCAGGCTTGGAATGCCTTCACCCCTTCCCTGATCTTGGAGGGCAACCCCAAAAGGGCTCATGTGTCTGCTGATGTCCCTGGCTCCCTGTTTCCCCAGAAGACGCCCAATACTCCCCTCCTCCCGGTGCCCTCGCAGGCAGATGTCCTAACGTGGCAAAAGGGTCCCCCTGAAACTGCACTTGCCCAAGGGGGTGCTGTGATATAGTGAGGGAAAGAAAAGCCCTACGCTGAAAGGTAAGAGATTTCTCACCTCATCTCTCACTAATATTCATCCAGGACTCAACAAATATTTACTGAGTGCCTACAAGTACCAGGCCCTGGCTTTCTGTGTGATTTGCCGGTCTCTGGTTCTGTCTCAGCTGCCTCAAGTGGAAAGCAGAGGAATTGTGCTAAATGCTTTCTAAAGGCCTTTTGAATTGTCAAACGAGGAGGGAATGACTAAATCAAGGTGGCCCTTTAACCTGGACTCAGACTTCCCCACTCCCAGCTGTGGGCTGTAAAGGTGACAGCTGTGATTAGGGCCAGTCCTTGCCCACAGCTCTGCAGATGTTTCCTCCCTCCCTGGCGCAAGCCCCCCTGAGGTGTTTTCAGGTGTATCCTGTGTACAGGCTACGGGGAGCAGCAAGCCCTGCCCTCCCCAGGTGCCCCCCATTCTCCAGGCCCGCCCACTGCATGCCTCTCTTCCTGCAGTCAGCACCTCCGAAATGCTTCCGGAGTCAGACTCCGCTCCAGCCGTGACTCTGCCCAACTACCTGTTTCCTACCTCTGAGACCGATGCCCAGAATGGCGCAGGTGACGCTGGTGCACAGGAAGAGCCATCTCTGGAGGAGAGGGTCCCAAGAGAGGAAAATGCCAAGAAGACTGGAAAATCAAAGAAGAGAAGTAAGGAGGGGGCAAGTGTGTGTTCAGGGGAGTGGGCAGTGGTGGACTAGGAAGACCCCAAGGGCTGAGCACGCTGAGGCTCACAGACACATGGAGGGGACCTCTCTGGGCTGGCAGGGATGGACTAGAAAGCCCCCTTCTGTAAGCCTGGCCTTCACCTGCTGTTCTCTATGAGGCTCCTTTCTGCCCAGCACACGTGGACACTGCCAGAAATATCAGTAATCCCCAAGGGATGAATCTCAGGTCAAGAGTTTGGACACCAGGTCTGGACCCCTGGCCAGTCCCTGGACCTCTGGGGGCCTCTATCCATTCAAAATGACTCATGCCTCATGCTTATCTCCCTTAGCAGAGCTTATGAAGCAGAGAGTGTATTTGAGAGAGGACTTTGGGCTTTCCCAAGCCTCAGCGTTATTGATTTACTCAGGGGGTGGCTGGCTGATACTGCCTCAACAGCGTGGCCACTACACTGGCCTCCACAGCCGTGGCACTTGGGCTGCCTCTCATTTCCCAAACGAGGGCAGGCACATTCTGCTCTTTGAAAGGTGCTTTGTTTGCAAGCATTACATTTCCCCACATGGTGGCCTTGCTGTGGAGCTGCCTCTCAGGCCTTAGCATGAAGGTGCAGATGCCGGTGGCTGTGGCAAACGATTGACCTGGCCCCTCTCAGCCTGTCCTGTCACACCCAGTGTGGCCAGCTCACCACGGCCTCAGCTCAGCATGCTCTCTTACCTTCCCATCACAGTCCGGAAGACAAAGGGCAACCGAAGCACATCACCTGTCACTGACCCTAGCATCCCCATCCGGAAGAAGTCGAAGGATGGCAAAGGTGTGGCTGGGAGTTGGGAGAGGTGGAAGGGGTGGCCCCTAGCCTACTGTTAGGGTCCCCGAGCCACCACTCACTGCCCCCTGCTCTGCAGGCAGCACAATCTACCTGTGGGAGTTCCTCTTGGCACTCCTGCAAGACCGAAACACTTGTCCCAAGTACATCAAGTGGACCCAGCGAGAGAAAGGCATCTTCAAGCTGGTGGACTCCAAAGCTGTGTCCAAGCTGTGGGGAAAGCAGAAAAACAAGCCTGACATGAACTATGAGACGATGGGGCGGGCACTAAGGTAGGAGCTGCACAGACATGGAATCCCTGTCCTGGACGCGTCATAAAGCTCTTTCTAAGTCCAAGGAGTCTCTCTCACTTTAACTGAGGCCTGCTGGGTCCTTTAAGGAAGTGGGTCTCCTAGCCCGCCCATTAGCTTGCCCCACCCCCTCTTCCACTCTGGGAGGCAAAATCTCCTTCCTCTTGCATCTCCTGCCTGGAGGAGCATTTTTCAGCCCTCCCTCTTCTGTCTCCAAGAAGGCTTTTCTTCACTTTGCAAGCCAGAGATCCAGGGAGATGGCTTTGAGTTGCCCCAAAGTTGGATTCTCAGGCTGGGGGCCTGTGGAACCCTGACATCCATTCCTTCACTCCTACTTCCATCCTTTATGCACTCCCCATCCTCAGCCCCAAAGCAAGATGGGTTGGAACCACAAAACCCTTTACATATATCCTTTGAGCCTACAGGGGAAAAACTGGGCCTTCTGCGCCTAGGAGTTGACCATGCCCCTTCCTGTGGCCCCAGGCTTGCCCTGCCCTGAAGGGTAGTGTGTAGGGGAGATGGAGAAGGGCAGGCCCCTTGCTCAGTCTCTGGCTAACTCCCACTCCCCACCCCTTGTCACCCAGGTACTACTACCAGCGAGGCATCCTGGCCAAAGTGGAGGGGCAGAGGCTGGTGTACCAGTTTAAGGAGATGCCCAAGGACTTGGTTGTGATTGAAGATGAGGACGAGAAAAGTGAAGCCCCAGCAGCACCCCCTCAGGCCTCCACGTCCTCCACGAGCACCCGAAGAGCCAGCTCCAGGGTGTCATCCAGGGCTGCCCCCCAGGGCAAGGGTGGCCCTTCCTGGGAGAAGCCAAAGATGCAGCACATTGGTCTACAGCCGTCTTCGAGTCTGGAATTGGGACTGTCTCTGAATGAGGAGACCCCCACTACCTCCACCATGCTTGTCTGTCCAGCAGAGAGCCAGGCCAAGCTCGCCAAGGCCGTGAGGTAAGGGTGCCAAAGCAACCATCAACCTTTCCACAGCCCCTTGTGTCAGGGCTGTCTCCAACTTTTTGCAAAGTTCTGCTGTGTCTCTAGTCTTGTAGGATCCTTACACAACCCCTGGGAAGCCAGCAGGACACTTGTGGACAACAGAGGAAATGTGACATGCCTAAGGCCACACACCAAGTCACTCCAATGCTAGCGTTTGACTGGAGGGAGGGCTTCTGTTGCCAGCTGGGGCTGATTCTGCTACTCCAGAGTATGCCTCAAGGAGCCACCTGCCCAGTCATCTCCACTCTACAAGAGAACCCAGTAGACATGCCCACTCTGCCCTCCAGCCCTCCTCCAAAACTCTCACTAGTTCCACTTCTTTTTTTTTTTTTTTCCTACCTCTCTACTTCTTTTCCTTGCTCAGGGCCCCAAGTTTTCCCTGAAGAGGTTAGGCTTTGTCTGCTTCTCTTGCTGCACTGATGAGTTTCCCTTTTTTTTTTTTTTTTCCTACCTCTCTACTTCTTTTCCTTGCTCAGGGCCCCAAGTTTTCCCTGAAGAGGTTAGGCTTTGTCTGCTTCTCTTGCTGCACTGATGTGGCTCACCAGGATGCTTTTCTGAGAGGGAAGCAGTAGAGGGGAAGGATGAGCTCTTGAGTATAGATCCAAGTCCCTGCTCTCTAGTCTAGGCTTACCAGCGGTGTGGTCTTGGGATAAGTTATGTAACTGGTCTGTGACTCAGTTTCCTCAAGTTGTAATATGAAATGATTGTTATTTGGCTCATGCACTGTTTTGAGGCTTGAGCAAAATGCGGCATGTGAATGAATCACTTGGAATGACCACTGACCTATACTAAGTACTGGGTAAATGCTAGCTAGAGCAACAACAGACAGAACACCTGCAATGCTCTCCGTTATACCATCCTCCTCGGCTGGTTGGGAGGCCCCTCCAGCTTTAACCAACTCTTTTTCTGTCTCGTTTCAGTCCTTCTTCAGTACCCAGCAACATCCACCTAGGAGTGGCCTCCATGGGGTCGGGCTCGGCCGTGACCCTGCAGACCATCCCGCTGACTACAGTGCTGACCAACGGGCCTCCCGCCAGTACTACTGCTTCTACTCAGCTCGTTCTCCAGAGCGTCCCGCCCGCGTCGGCAACCTTCAAGGACACCTTCACTCTGCAGGCCTCCTTCCCCCTGAATACTACTTTTCAAGAGAACCAGGTGGCAGCACCAGGGGCCCCACTGATTCTTAGTGGCCTCCCCCAGCTTCTGGCTGGGGCCAACCGTCCAACCAACCCAGCTCCACCCTCTGTCACGGCTGCTGGACCAGCAGGGCCCAGCTCTCAGCCCCCTGGGACTGTTATTGCTGCCTTCATCAGAACTTCCGCCACCGCAGCAGCCCCTGGGGTCAAGGAGGGGCCGCTGAGGCCCTCCTCATATGTGCAGGGCATGGTGACTGGGGCCCCCATGGAGGGGCTGCTGGTTCCTGAAGAGACCCTGAGGGAGCTCCTGAGAGATCAGGCTCATCTTCAGCCACTTCCAACCCAAGTAGTTTCAAGGGGTTCCCACACTCCAAACCTTATGGGAAACCAGACTTTCTCTCCCCCCAGCCGCCCCACTGTTGGGCTGACCCCAGTGGCTGAACTTGAGCTCTCCTCAGGCTCAGGGTCCCTGTTAATAGCTGAGCCTAGTGTGACCTCATCTGGGAGCGTGCTGACCAGATCCCCAACCCCAGCCCCCTTCTCTCCATTCAATCCCACTTCCCTCATTAAGATGGAGCCCCATGACATATAAACGAAGGAGGTCAGAAGTATGACCGAGGAGGCGAAGCTGAGCAGCAGTTTTACATGGACTGACTTATGTAGCGTACCTGCCCTTACGTTTCCATGGGATTCGATACACCTGATCCTCAGTCCTCCAGGCCTGCCTGGCACCACCATGGCGAGCTCTGTCCTGTTTGAGCATCGCTGGCATCAGACCATGGCTTGCCAGAGCATGAGAGGATGTGCTCTCAGCAGGACAATGGGCTGGCTTAGTGATGGAGGGAAAACTGGAGCCAGGGAGAAGCTTGTGGCCGGGGCTGGCACAGGAACTTTGTGAAGAGTCGGGCCTGGCTGCATCTCGCCATCTACGTTCCCCGTATAGGGAATTTACTATCCCATATGTGAATATCTCTGTGTGTATCTGTGTGTGTACTTGTGGGTCTCTGTCTTTCCTTTTGCGGGGAGGACTGGGGTGTAGCTATGTGGTCTTCTCTTCAAGGATGTGTGCATGTCCTTCTGTGAGTCAGCCACAGAGATGGGGATCTTTTTTAAGGGAATACATCCTCTGATGCCCAAGATTCAATTGCTCTGAGACTATGGGGTACAGACTGGATCCCCAAATCTAGAGATGTCACCAAGCTGGAACAGGTCCAGGTAGGACAGCTTCAATGGGTGCACCTGTTGGGGAACAATAAGGCTAAGTGGGGTAAAGCCACAAAGGGAAGGGAGAGAAGAGAACTCAGCCCCAAGAGCGAGCCCCACAGGCTAGACCACTGTGCTCTTCCTGGAGTTTGCCTCATCGCTCGCCACTGTCCCCATGCCAGTAGGCTGGGACCTTGGCCACCCTAGGGTGCTTTGCTGGAGCAGTCAGAGCAGAGCACCCCTCTAGTCAGCCCCAGTCAGGGCTGAGTTACTATTAAATACCTGTGCCTGGGTCTTCAGCTGTTTATGCAACAGCAGTCCCATGCCAGGCAACAGTCTCAGCTGGCATACTGCCCTGCATGCCCCTAATGCCCTGGGTCACCTGGTCATTACTTCTCCCCTGAGAGTTTCCAGCTGCCAGGTGTTGCTGGGGGCAGTGGTCAGTGACCCAGGTGGGGTCTGGCACCTCGTCCCTGCTGTCCAGCCTGCCTTCTCACCTCCGAGGTGTGCTAGGTGCTCCTTGTTTCCAATTCTCACTCCTAATCCCCATTTCTTCTTCACCAAGTAGGCAGGAGCCAGCTGACAGGAGTTCCCAGAGCATCACTCCATCTCCACACGGCTCCTCCCTTCCCTCTCCGTTTTCTGAGGAAGGGTCAGCCTGTTTTCTCTCCAAGTCAGCCCCTCAGCTGAGGGACTGCATCCCCTCCCTGCTCTCCCACTGAATCTACTTGCCCCTCTCCTACCAATTCTGGGGGCAAAGCTGAGAAACATTGGGCTTGCGAGCAACCTTACTCTCTGGTGAATTTGGTTAATGTGAATCAGTGCCTCAGGACCTTTGCTTTGTTGCTGGCACAAAACCACCCGCTTGGCCTGACTACCTCCCCTGGCTGCCCTTTTCTCCTCTTGTGGGCATCATTCTCCCTCACTCTCTTCCTTCTCCTTTCCTGGTGGAGGGACCATATATGGCCATGCAGGTGTATTTACAACAGTTCCCAGCAGTTGGCATCAAAGTGCCTTTTCTAATAAAATCGGCTTATTGTGACAATTTTCTGATGGTTGAAAGTAAGCATCTTGAGAAAGGATCCTTTTTTAAAAAAAGAAAACCACACAAAGGCATGGCATGGTTTGGGAGTGGCCCTGCCCGTCTGAAATCTGGTTACCTCCAACTCCACAGACATCTGTCATTCCAAGGACATCAGAATCCTCACGGAGAAGCCACATGTCTCCTCAACAGTCTGTGAGCCTGCGCTAGCTGGGCACTCCTCCTCCTCATCCTTTCTCGCACCTGGGCTGGCCCCTGTCCGCCACTTGAGACATGGGCGTTTCCCAAGCGTCTCATCTTTCTCACCGGCTGGCTCTTCTGGATGAGTCTTAAGTCTGCAGCTTCAGCCCTGTTTTCCTCCTAAACCCTGGGCTTGTCTAGTAAGCTGCCAGACAATTCCACCTAAATGTCTGTCGTCCTCTCTATCAGATGTGGATCTTTAAATTTTTTCCATACGCAAAAAAAAAAAAAAAAAAAAAAAAAA